CACACAAACTCAGCCCAGAAAATCTTGTAATTACAAGGATGCATATATATATTGTAATCCATTATCATGATGTACCAAGCTAATATTCAAAGTGTAATTAAAGATAATACTCCAATTCCAAAGTAAGATATGAAATATCCTCAGCAGCATATTTCAAACTTGATACCCCGAGTATTAAGAAGAAGAAAAAAAAGTAAGTGAAAACCAAGCACCCATGTTTCAAGCATGTCAAGAGTGTGTGGTTGCCAAAACTGAGCGACCACTTAGAAAAGTATGTCAAGAAGAAAGAATCTCAAACAAGAACATCTCAATAATGGCAGATATAGTTAATTTGAAAAAGTACAAACCTCGGTGGCTCACCGAGTATAGAAAATTGTTGGGAACCTTCAGTAATCAAATTCAGATATAGTTTTATAACTAAATTCTCTAAAGCTGTAAAAAAAATCAACTATTTATGCCATTCGGAATCTCAATTACACATATATCAATAGTCATCCATAATTTTAATCGCACTAAAGCTCAGGATTCAATATAACTAGAAATAATATTTTCTTGACTAATAATTCTATTAACTTTATAAAAATCATCATCTCTATAATTTAAACCAAGTACAACTAGCACACAATCACATAATCGCACAACACCACAAAAGACAGGAATGGATGAAACAACAGGGAAGTAGCAGGGCCGCAGTAACATAGCGACATGTAGTAGTAGAAAAGGGGGGAAAAACTAAAAAAAAAGGTCTAGAGATTATCTTACCTCATGAATTGTTTCAATGGATTAGAAGAGGAACTCATAAATTGTTTAAATGGAGAAGTTGGAGTTCCCGCAAGTAAGAATAAGTAATCCTCAAAATCCAAACAATTCAAAGAACAAGAACCCTAATTTGCGGCCAGTGGTGGTTGCTTGTTTTTATGGCCGATGAAACTATTTTATAAGCTTCTAAACTCAAATATTCCTTGATTGAATTCGAGAACAAGCTAAACCGTTTAGAAATCTGCTATCATAATCTCAAATATGGGCTTGAAACTTGCAACTCAGACTTTTAAATCGTGGTTCATTTGTCAAGCCTTCCCCAACAAGAAGAACCAAAAATATTGAAAATCAAATCAGAAAATCAAAAATCGACTTGAACTCATTCGAAATCAAAATCGCAAAAACATGTTTCAAAATCGATCAAAAATTAAACTGAAATTTACATACCTTAACAGATTATCGCGAGAAATTGATGAGCAAAAGCAAAGAAATTGAAAACTGAAAAAAATGGAAGAGCGTAGAATCAGAGAACTTGGAAAAAGAGAGAGAAAATCTAAAGAGGAGAGAGAAAATCTCAGCTGTTGAATTTGATCTAATCTAGCGGCTGAGGTTTGTCCTCACATAAGGTGTGAGTTCTCACATAAAGGGTGGTTCTCACCGGATCCCGACCCTATATATAATGATAAAGTGGAACATAATATACACAATCCAATAAGTCTCTCTATGCTAAGAAGACAAAGTAAATAAAACCCGAGTGATCATGCTAGCCCATGTGTACAATATTACTATTCCATTGGTATAGATAGCCAAATTGATCAATCCATGACCCAATTCGAACCCTACTTAAAGTCACCGAGAGAACCCCAAATCCGAACAACACGATTTCAACCCGATTTGACCAAGATCTTTTATATACGAAGTATTAAAATTTAAAGAAAGTACCCGTCAATATGTCTTGCATTAATTTCATAAGATTTTAAGCACAACCCAACATCTGACCCCGAACCCGACCTAACGACCGGAATTATCACCGCTATAAATTGATACTTCATCAAGGTATTCATACAAAGCCTCAAGCATTAATTATACTTGCATACTATTTAATACTCTTATTATTATTTCGCTTACTGACTTTGGCATTAGGGGTCTTCCTCAATCACACCCCCAAGGCAAGTTTATGTGTTATACTTTACAGATTTAAGCTCAATTATTAATTGTACTAAACTCGTTTTCAAGCCACATCATCAATATATCTTAATCTAGACCACATTGTTTTTCTCGAAATATTTTGTATATTAAAAGTTAAAATGTATAGATAATATTAAGAAGTCCCAGATCAAGTACGTTTTCTCTCTCTAGAAATTTGAGAGCATCTCTCACTAAGTGTGAGCTTCACTAGTTTTGCTAGGGTTTGCTAGGGTTTGCTTTCTCCCTCAATATCTCTTGCGTGCTCCATTCCTCTCAGCATTTCAGTATAGACCCTCTAGGTGGGAGGGAGATCAATAGTTTCTTGTGCCTGTAGGTTTTATCCTCCTTTATCTCCATCCAAGAAGTTAATCTTCTTAATTGTATTAAAATACCTCGTTTCCCATAAAAGGTTTTAACCTTTTAAGCAACTTTCTCCTTATTCCAAGATAGCAGAGGTGTAAACTTCGCTTTCCTCTTCAATTCAATTGGGAAGTAATTGCTTTTTGTGTTATTGGTGGAGTTTAACAACTAGAGGCGGCTATTCCTCTAAGATCCCATCCCGTTCAGCGTTGGCTCCCCACGCGAGTGGTCTTTTCATATTCCAAGAACTGGAGTTTGGCTATAAATGCCAAGGGTTCGTTCTGGGATGTATCATCAGTCTTAATTCCTTTTCTGTCTTAACTTCTCTTCTGTTTCTCTTGTCTTTTCTTCTTTCATTCACATGCTTCTTTCTTTCCTCTCTAATAATCTTTGTCTCATTCCCTATTATTCTGAACAACATCATGAGCAATGATAGGGGTTTTCCTAACGCTCATAATAATCATAATCTCCAAAATATGCGAGGGGGACCCCTCATTCCCACTCTAATAGATTTTCGTATTGATAACGTTACTATTAATTATAAATCAAGTGTAATAGGCTTGTTCACAGGACCTCACCCCCCATCGGTGCATTTTGTTCAACACATTGTCGACTCTTGATGGATAAGGAGGGATGAGATTAGAGTCCATAGATCGGGGCCATACTTCTTGGTTGAATGCAGAAACAGCCAAGACCTTGAAGGTCTTATCCTAGCCAACACAACAATCATCGATGGCAGGGTGATTAACCTAAGAGGGTATCAAGTTGATCTTGTACCTAACCAAATGAGCTTTACTCTGGCAAGTATATGGGTAAGGGTTCATGGGCTTCCTTCAGCCTACCTTACTACAAGCTGGGCAAGACAAATAATAAGGCATGTTGTGTATATCGAGGAGATTGATCAGGAAGGAAATGATCTTCCCATCCACGCTGAGCTCAGAGCTAGGATGTTAATCAATCTGTCTATCCCTTTAATCCCGGGATGCTTCATTCCCCTGGAAGGGAATAGAGTGATTTGGGTATACTTGCGACATGAAGGTATATACAGATTCTGCAAATCTTGTGGGTGTGCAGGACATGCGACTTCTCGCTGCTCCCTTCACGCTGCTGTTGCAAGGAGGAGACTTAATGAGGTGGAAGCCGATGGTATAAGAGTGTTATATGGGCCAGCTGAATACCCATTTTATTCGAACTTTATTCGTGGCTTGCCAGACTCATATAGATGTCGAAATACTGGTTTGGACTTATGTCCTCAAGAAATACAAGAAGAGCCTTCATTGTATAGGAGGGTGCAAGGGGAAAATATGGGTTTTGAAGAATATCACCCGTATGTTGAGTCCCTATCATCTCATGAAAGTGAAGATAGTGAGGGGTTTCAAACTGGCGAGGAGGAGTTTTCGAAGGAGGAATCGGGTTTAGGTGAGGTGGAGGAAGATCCGGTGAGACCAGAACTCGAACTCTCGCCTGGAAGTCGTCTGGGTTTGGGTGGTGACCCTTATGCGGAGTTCACTCATGAGGGGCAATGTAGCCCTAATCTGGGCAACTATAATAGGGGAAATCCTCCTTTGATGTGCGTGGAACAGCAGCTAGATGAGCAGCATGGTGTGTTAGAAAGGAGAACAGGGGGTGCAATTCCAATTAGGCACGTCGCTATTAGAGGGTGAGAGGCACATACAACTACGTCTTTGCCTCCTCCAACTCAGCCTCTCTTCAAGGGCTCGACCTATGAGGTGGGGGAATCTTCGGCAGCCATGCAGAGGAACAGACAGGGAAGGGGGCCAGGGACGATTTTCCATACATTGGGTATCTCGGAATGGGCATCTTCACCTATTGGTTTCGAAAGGGTTAATGATTTGGGGCATGGAAATAGGGCTGGGCATGGTAGAGACTTGATGTCACCAATTGCTGCTATGTCGAATCAGGATTGGGAAAGCTCACCCATTATGGCTTCGAGAAGACTACATGATGAAGAACATCTAGAGGAAAATGAATATGCGTGCATAATGGAAGCAAGCACGATTCTTCCTTTAGGTATTCGACAAGCAAGGAGGGCGGAGATTCAAGAGCTTAACCGAGTTGCAAGGGGTGTTACTTCTCCTTTTCTTCGGCTATCACAGGCGGATTTAGGGGGGCTTCCGAATCTACCTCTCACGGAATTTGACCCCCCTAACAGCCCAATGTCGCATTTGAGCTCATTTAACTTTACAGAATTGTTTAACTACGACGATGAGGCATGCAACAAGAAGCACCTAAGGGAGGCGGTTGGAAATTTGCCGCATTCTTGTGATGGAGATTTGGTGAGATACAGGGAGTCTGATTATGAATGGGTGGAAATGAAAAGAATCAAGAGGTTTCACAGGTGGTCCGAGAAGGGTGGTTTCTCGATTTGGCTCAAGGATAAAAAAGGGAAGTGTAGGTTTGCTTCGAAGGCTATCTCTGATCCCGACATGGCACGGGAACTCGGGGTTAATGTTGATGGGGACCTCCGAATGAGGGGAAAGAACGAGAGACCCCAAGATAACTCTTCTTCTTTGACTGAATCTTACAAGAGGCAGAAAAGTGAGGAAGTTACTTCGGCTCTAAGGGAATGTAAGGGATGACATGGAAATCGATCTTCAATTACCTATTCTTGACTTGATGAGGCTATCATCAGGGGTGGAGGAGGCTGCTCCAAATCAGCCCCCAACAGGGATATGAAGATAGTGGCATGGAATTGTAGGGGTCTCAATGATCCATACTCCCTTACGGTTCCCTACCTAGTATGGATCTATCGATTGAAGTTACCTATGTTTTTGTTCATTTCGGAAACTAAAATGAAGTTTGCTTGTGCGGCGGCTAGATTAAGTACTATTAACACTACTTCCGCTTTTGGTTGGGACTCGGATCGAAGTAGTGGGGGCCTTCTAGTTTTAGGTTGGTCTAATGATGAAATCGAATGCTTGTATTCCTCAAAAAAATTTATCCTCTGTAAAATGATCGATATGAATGGAAGTTTGAAGTATGTACTTTTCTTTTATGGTGAGCCTCAAGTAGAAAATAGGAAAATTATTTGGGAACAACTCCAGTGGTTTTTAGAAGAGTTCAAAATCGTTCTAGTAATAGGAGATTTTAATCAAGTAGAAAGTGGGAGTGAAAAACTAGGGGGATTGACCCAAATAAGAGGAATCGATGCCTTCCTAGATTGGAGGTTTGGTAGCAATGTGACGGAAGTTCCTTTCTCGGGGCCAAGATTCACTTGGAGCAATAAAAGGGAAGGTAATGATCTTATCCTAGAAAGGCTGGATCGTGCCTACATCACAGAGGAATGGTTTGCTCATTCTCCCGATGGAAGGATCTTTCATGAACCAATTGTTTGTTCCGATCACGCAGTCATGACTTACCATGATCAGCCTAGATCTACCTCTTCTAATAGGCCTTATCAAATTGAGAACTGGTGCCTCAACTTTCCGAAAGTCAAAGAAATTGTAAAAAATTCTTGGAAGGAGGATTGTCAGGGTTCGTACATGTTCCAGCTAATTAGAAAGTTGGGTAAGCTTAGGTCAAAACTCCAATACTGGTGCTTGGAAAATAAGAAGGTTTGGGGGATCAACTGGAAAAAGATCACTAAGGATCTTCAAAGCACGGGGATGAATATTAGTTTGATTAAGGAAGGAGAGGGGTATGTCAAGCGTATTCACCTTCTTATACCTGAGGGTCAATTGTGTTTTAGGTTTTGGAAACAAAGAATGAAAGCAAACTGGGTCAAGTTCGGGGACTGCCCAACGCCTACCATGTACAGGAAAGTAAAACAACAACAATCTCAAAAGGAAATCTTGACTTTAAGGAATGGAAATGATACATGGGTTGAGGGGCAAAGGGAGGTTGAAGAGGTAATCTTGACCTCAATCAAGGAGGTCTATAACCCGGTTATGCCTGATAATCATGGGGAAGATATTGACCTTCTGCTTCGACAACTTGATATTCCCCTCATCCGGGATGAGGATTGGCTTTGGCTAGACAGGGATTTTTCTGACAGTGAAATTAAAAAGGCAATGCTCAATCTGCATTGCTCCAAGTCTCCAGGCCCAGACGGGTTTACGGTGGATTTTTTCAAATCCTACTGGCATGAAGTAGGGCAACTGGTGATTGATAGTGTAAAACAATTTCTGAGAACAGGTAACATGCTCAAAGAATGGAACCAGTCACTGCTAGTATTGATTCCAAAGGTTAAGGTTCCAGAGCTTGCGAGTCAGTTTAGACCGATCAGTTTGTGCAACACAGCCTACAAGTGCATCTCTAAATGCTTGGTTAATAGGCTTAAACCAATCCTCCCTAGCCTTATCACAGAAAACCAGCATGCCTTCATCCCAGGAAGGTATATGGAGGATAATATCCTTCTGAGTCATGAACTCATGCACCTTATAAACTCGAGGAGGGGCTCCAATTTCACAGCAATTAAGATTGATATGTCAAAAGCTTATGATAGAGTGGATTGGCTCTTTCTTCTGAAAGTGCTACAAGCATTTGGGTTTTCGAACCACTAGTTAAGGATGATATCAAAGTGTGTCTCAACAGTGAGTTTCAAAGCAGTCATCAACAGGAAAACAACTAAACACTTTGCTCCTAATTGTGGCCTGAGACAAGGGGATCCGCTCTCCCCATACCTATTCATTTTCTGTATGGACATCATGTCAAGGATGTTAACTCTGGCAGAGGATATCAATCTTCTCAAAGGATTGAAAGTATCTCACAGATCTCCCTCGATCTCTCATCTCTTCTTCGCAGATGATGCTATGCTCTTTTTCAAGGCAAATGAAGAGGCATGTTTGTGCATTTCTGACATCCTTAATAGGTCCGGGAAAGCTTCTGGTCAACAGCTAAATCTCCAAAAGTCAGTTATAAAGTTCTCGCTGGGTGTCGACTATGAGAAGAGATTGGCTACGAAACAGATCCTTTCTATGCCTGAAACCGAGAATATGGGAATTCATCTAGGGGCTCCAATTGATATTGTAGGAAAGAAGAGCTCCGCTTTCCAATTTCTGGTTGACAAAGTTTCAGAAACAATCATCTCTTGGGCTTCCTTACACCTTTCCCAACCGACAAAACTAATCCTTATCAACACTGTGCTGGTAATCATGTCTGCTCATATCATGAAGTGTCTGAAACTTCCCTAGAGCATTGCAAACAAGATTGATTCTTTAATCGGTCGTTTTTGGTGGGCTGGTAATGGGAATAAGGGCCTACACTGGGTAAGTAGAAGTGTCATCTAGCTCTCGAAAAGTATGGGAGGTTTGGGAATCAGGGGGTGCTCGAATCTTAATGACGCTCTCCTTTTCAAACAAGCAACAAGGATGCACCTTAATCCACAGCTATTACTAGCAAGAGTACACAAAGGATTTCAACCATGCAGTATATGTCATATCACTAGGCCTTATAAAAGGCAAGGGAATCCTTCAATGGGTAGGGCAAGCCTTCAAAAAATCGCCTAATCCTTTAAGGAGGGATTTGCGTGGAAGGTGGGGAATGGTAATAAGATCAAGGCTATAAGCATGCCTTGGGTGAAAGGGGAAATCCCTCTAGTTAAGGCGGGCCAAACTTTGGGGGGCGCAGTGAATTGGAAAGTGAGTGATTTCATTAACACGGTGTCTAAAACATGGGATGCAGGAAAGATAAGGGAATGTTTTGAATGGAATAGTGCAAAGGCGATTCTGGCAATGGAGCTTCCGCATTCAACCGAGGATGATTTCCTCTATTGGAAATATCACCCTTCGGGTAGGTACACAGTTAAAACTGGGTATTACTACCTCTCAAAGGATTTAGGATTGGAACGCTCTACTTTTTTGGAACGGGACCAGGAATTTGTTAGGTTGGTGTGGAGAATGAACATTCAACCGAAATGGAAAGTGTTTATGTGGAAGCTGTTTCATGATGGTATTGCAGTGAGGGTAATCTGGAGAGACGGGGGATATGGATGAAACTGCTTGTGATCTCTGTGGAGTGGTCTTGGAAGATAGCCAACACCTGTTTAGGCAATGTATTCTGGCAAAGGAAGTTTGGAGAATGGCTCCCTAACTATTTGCCCTGACTATCCTGGGTCCTCTTCATTGAGAAGATGGATTCAGCACTATATCCTGCTCTTTAATAGCGAGGATGGTAAGCATAGTAACCGATGTGCTTTGTTTATTGCAATGTTATGGGGACTATGGAAAACCAGGAACGCAAGATGTTTCAAAGGCACTATGGGGACAAGAAGCCTAGTGATGGAATTCATAAATCTTGCAATGGAGGATCATGAGACATTTAAACAACAAGCAAGTCCAACAAACGAGAAGGAGGCTGCTAGCAAGGATAATCCGATTATTCCTCCGGGTTTCAACTATGTGCAGCTAGGAAAGGAGAAGCATGATTTTGATGATTTTATAGTGGAAGCAGATGGCTCCTGGGACAAGAAGACGATGTGAGCAGGGGTTGGCTGGGCAGTTAAGACTAATTCCCAAGGCCTTGCCCTTGATGAGGGTGGAAAACATGGAGCAGCTGCGTCAGTCACACAATGCGAAGCCTGGGCTTGTCTTGAAGCGATGAATTGGGCCAAAGCTAAAGGAAAGCATGGAATACTTCTTTTATCTGACTCTATTTCCCTTTTAAACAATTTACAGGATAACCAGAGAAAGGAGATATCTATAAAGTGGTTGCTGAAGGAGTTGAGGGAAGTCGGAGCATCTTTTCAAAGATGCACGATTTTGAAGGTTCCTAGAGATCATGTTCAAAGGGCAAATGACATTGCTAGGAACTGTCGGATCGAAATTTCTAATTGGTTGTAGGTGTATTTAGTTTCATTTGCTATTGTCAAAAAAAAAAAAAAAAAAAGTTAAAATGTAATAGCTAAAATGTTATACTTTTATCAAAAAAAGCTCCAATGTCTCTTGAGGTCCCAATCAATTTTTGATGGTTTCAAGGTGTCGCCAACTTTTTTAGACCCGTTATGTGCAACGAAATAGGAGCAGATTGTGAAATCGTGACAAGGTACACCGGCGATGCCCATATGGTGTAAATATTAGTATATGAGTCATAGATTATCATAACCACGCAATGTAGTTCAATGATTAATTCATCATCATTAGTATATTTTGTGGAGAGGTAAGGTTCGTTTTGCTCTTTTCGTGTTTTAATAAGTGTCACATTTTGATTTTTTTCACTATTTATATTAAGGTTTCGACTTGATTAATTTACTAATATATAAAAAACAAATGTTATTGTGTAATACATTGTTGGATTCGTTATAATGTATACTTTTATAATATCAACTATCTTATAATTTTACTAACATATGCGAAGTAATTAAATGAATTAATGGTCAAAGTTGTGTCTCGACATATACACAGTGTTTGGTTAAAATGTAACACTACTTATTAAAACACGAAGAGAATGTGAATAATTTAATCGTCCAAATACTTTATAAACAAATTTAAATTTGTAAATAATATCACAAAATAAAAAGGACAAGTTTGAACAAACCACTGTCGACTTTATGAATAGATGAGGTTCGTAATCTTCATAAAATTCGGGATCCACCTAAATGACAATGTAAAGCAATAATATTAGAAGTTAGATAAATATATAAGACCACATCCCTTATGTGAGAACCCTATTATTTGTGAGGACTCATTATAACCGTTGGATCAATTACATCCAACGACCACAATTAATCCCGGTCAAACAAAACAATTTAATTTGAAAACAAATTCTTGCGTTTTTTCTCTCTCCTCCTCCCTCTTTCAAGCGTTCTTTTCTCTTTCCTCATTCAATTTCTCTGTTTTCTACTCTCTTTCCCTCTGCTATTCTCTCTGATTTTTCATCACTACTTCTTCAATCTTCATCAATTCTTCATCAAAGTGAGTTTATTGTTTATATTTTCGTGTTTTTCAATTCATTTTAGGTCACATTCAGTTACATTCATTGTTGATTTTTGTTTTGATTTTCGTTTGAATTTCGCTGATTTTAGCTCACATTGTTTATTAATTAGTGTCAATTCTGTTTTACTTTGTTTTTTTTTGTTGATTTTAGTTTGATTTTCGTTTTTTTTTGAGTAGTTATTAAGTTGATTTTAGTTTTATTTGAGTTTTTACCTTAATTTTTGTTTGATTTTTTGGCTTAATTTCTTCAATTGTGTTTAATTTTTCTGCTTAATTGTGTCAGTTTCTGTCAATTATTTTAGCTTAATTTTATCAGTTTGTGTTTGATTTTTTCAATTTCTTCATCAATTTTTTGAAATTTTGTGTTCAATTTTGTTATCATACATGTATTCTAAGAAGATGGCATAATTGTTTTAGCAACTCGACCTAAATTTTATTGTTCTTTAATTTGACCACAGAATCTGGAAGTTCCTGACAGACTAAGGTAGCCAAGTGTCCTTGCAAGCTCATTTGTAACTTCTATATCTGTAAGACTTTCTGAACATAGGGTTGTGTTCATATTATGTTCAATAAACTTGGAGGCATAAGGTTGAGGAATTTGGTAGGCTTTGTCATTCGCTCAGGTTTATTCTTGTAATAAATTGTCTTTGCTAAGGGAAACAATGTTGCGACACACTTTTTATGCATAGGATTCAACGTGCCTACTAATTGCAAATGAGTCTTGTGATTATTGTATGAATAGTATTGGTTTGTAATCTATCCTTAAAAATTATAGTTTCACTTGGAATATGAAAGGGCTTTTTTCTCAGGAGTAATGTTTAGTCTAGGACTCTGGGGGGATTGGTCTATTAGTAGTTTTCTATGACAATATTAGTTGGTTAGGATTAGTGTAGAGAGGTGTAATCAGAAAATTATGGGGAGTTATTTTACAAAGCCACATGAAGGTCTAGGATTGTAGCCACTTTTTGTTTAGCAAATCACATCAAATTATGATCATCTTTCATTCTCTTCTTCCTCATTTCTATAATTCAACTTTCAGATACATTAAAGCCTAGAGGTGTGCCCCTAATATGATGTTGTGTCGTTTTCCAGCTATTTCTTTATTTCACTTTAAATAGCACATATTATCATATTGGCTTCACTCTATTCACTTTGAAACGCTTAATTAAATGTAGTAACTTTTATATGAACCTATTTTCCCTGACATGACCCTCATAACAACTTTGTTGAATTTACATTTCCTCACTTTTTAAGGTGTAAAAATGTAAAGGTAAATATCTGATACCTTGATTTACAATGATGGACAGGATATACAAGCTCGAGGTTGGTTGACATCATACTCCACCGTTTTTACTACATCCATGATGATATTGTTTCTGCTCTTGAGATAATGATAAAGCTACAACGTGAAATTTTATTCAAATATTAAACAAGTAACAGGTACTTTTTCGAGTTCAGTAAACTAATTTGTTGTGCTAATATTAAACATGTTTAAGCATGATTCCAGCAGCCACAGATGATTTTTGTAACTTTTAAAACACTTGTTAGATGAAGCTGTTAATATTTGTTAAGATTAGTAGTATATATCATTTTCCAATTAGCAGCCTTTCTGTTTAGAGACGTGACATGTG